AATTCATCTGGTTCAGGAGGAAACAGCCAAAATTACAATCTATATTTGGCTGTTCCTGTTCATGACCAGTTGATCTTTTGATCAACTTCCCATGGATGGTTCTGCTGGAAATTTTCCATTCAATCAGGGCTTGCAGCCAATTGGCTGCAGGGCTGATCAGTGTATTCTGATGGCTTGGAATCCTGCTATCAGAATACAATGATGAAGTAGGCAGAAATCTTGCTTCCACATCGAATGTTTGGATGGAGGAATTGGTTCAGTTTTTCCATTCAGCCCCCTGGCTGAACAAAAAAAAAACGGACCCATGTATGGCCAGCTTTACTGTCTCTTAAAGTGTAGATCAACCCCAGCAATGGACTTATCTTGTTAACTATTAGATTGATATGATAGTTTTGTGTGTTACAGCTTGCATTATACTTTAGCTCCCCCCCAGTGGACACCAGCACTGCAGCTATAAATGACACCAGCACTGGTGTCTTATCTCTGCCCCTGCGTGAGCTTTGCCCATTAATGAAAGAAGCCTGCGATGAATAGGCAAAGAGTATATAGGGGTAGACATGTGTCACTAGTGCTGGTGCCAATCATAACTGCAGCACTGTTATTGGCCAGGGGGCTGAAATGCAGCACAACCTATACTAAGGCTATATTCAAACGTATTTCTGCACGTTTTCAGCATGTTCCCATTCATTTCTATGGGCTGCCCTATGCACGAGAAACATGGAAAAGAAGCCCCTGACCCTTTCTCTAAAATGCACCATACTTTGGTGTTTGGCGCACGCGAAAATACACGTTAGCAGGTGCATGGGATTGCCATTAACAATTAATAGCCCTGCTGCACATCTGCTAAAGAGTATTGCATTTCTGTGCATGTTGGGAAAGCATAAAAATTGGCACACATTCCCAAGATACAGTAGTGTGAACATAGCCTAAGTCTCCGTTCACACCCACAGGTGTGACCAACCACATGCGTTTCCATGCATTTTCAGCACGTATCTACAAGTTGTGTATAGGCTGGACCATTAATTTCAATGGGCTGCCCGACACCCAAGAAACATGAAAAAGAAGTCCTTAACCCTTTTACAAAAATATGGCGCACTCAACCGTATGGTGCTGTGGAACCATGTGTTTTGGTATATATGTAAGCTCACATCAGCAGATGCGGGGTGCCATTATCAATCAATGGCACAGTTGCGTATCTGCTAAAGAGAAGAACGTTTCTGTCAGGAAAGTGCATGATTTTGCTTGCATTCTCAACATGCAGTAGTCTGAATGTAGCCTAACATGAAAATATAAGATCAATTTTTTATTTTGTCAAATATTTTTAAAGTTACATAATGGAGAAGTTTATCTGTCTGCATTAGTCATATTGCCATATTTTCAAGATTAACTTAATTTAGCATTTAAAATCATTTTGAGCAACTAACGACTTTTAAAAAAAGTAGAATCTAAATAAATGGAGAACAGCAATCTCAGCTATTAAGCACATTTTTGAAAATGGTGGGGAAATGGAAAAAAATGGGGGCATAAATAATTATTTTGAACCCTTCTGAATAGACTCCATATTGATTGTGCATAAGGTTGCGATACTTACATGCATGGCTAAAATGCTGCGAGGTACTAATTCTCTGTATTGTCTAATAGTAAAGTGCCATGTCTTTATTCTCATGAGATCATCGAATGTGAACTCCAGGATGAGACGGCCTTCAGTGCACACCTGTGTTGAAAAAAAAAAAGGGAAATAATAGTGCCTTTTATTCCTAAGTAACAGACAAATACATATCACTTGTGGCAATGGTAATAAGGTCTTTTTAACATGCAAAATCCTAGGATAAAAAAATTTATAATTTTCACGTTTTTTTTTTTTTACTTCGGTTGTAATTGAATTCAGATACAGAACTTGAAACTGAAAACCATCAAAGCTTTACTGTAATGGCTAAAGCATTCATCCAGCAATATTCCATTTCTGAATAGTTTCATTTTGTTTTGTAATGCAGTTTAGACCAGTGAGCAAAGAAAAATGAATATTTATGTTTACCAGGAGGGATACAATAAAACCAGATCACACAGAAGAAGCAACTGCAGGTGAATAATCCCATATCAAAGATGCTAAGGCAAGAAAACGTAACAGGAAAACAGGAATTAAAATGTTGTGATTTGTGAATTTTGAAAATGACTGTATTTAGTTTGTTTAGGGAAATTACAAGTAAAATAATCATGTTTTAATACTTTTTTTAAATTGTATAATTTCCCTAAATTGCAGTCTGGTTGCCATGGAAAACTACATTTTGTCTATCATCATTGTTATTTGCCCTGATATGCCGAAGCCCAATTATAAGCAATGCAGCCAGACAGTGTGATGTAATGCTGGTTATCAACACTGTTACTGTGCTGTTAAGTATTGCTCTGCCATTAATAAAAACTAGCTAAAATTGACTAGTGATTAATTAATTTCAAAGTTAAAGCTCATGTTTTTTTCTGTAATTTATTGAAAGTTTAAATGAAAATATAAGTGGAAAAAATCGGTGTAAAATAAACGTACAAAATCAAAGAAAGTGAAGAAGCAAAACTGCACCAAAAAAAATCTTAGATACAACCATGTAGAGCATCCAAATATTTAAAAAAATCAACCTCAGTTTCTAAGCATGGATACACTTGACCTTAACTGTTTATTTAAAATATGAAAATGTTAGCTAATTGATAAATAAACGCAACCTCCGTTTTAAGCATATAAGCTTAAAAAACAAAAAACTGTTGTGTTATTCCTTTAAATAAGTTAAACACATTTATCACCCATAAGCGGAAACATGTATACGTCCACAAAACAATGAATATAAATATGATCCAATGATTTCTTCAAACTTCTTTAAACCCTTTAATGATTCCACCACCAGTTAATGAAATATCAGTCTCTTACCAAACAAAATGACCCCAAAACATAAGAGATCAATTCACGCTCAAGGTAAATGCCTGAGGATCTTCACAGTATTGCTCTTTAGGATTTAAAGGGTTGGCCCCTGGAGAATGACTTCTAGGATTAAATATGTTGGGGCAGAGCCTATGTTGATGTCATTACACCGCTGGATCGAGTAGTGGCTCGGTTGTTTGACTGATTGATTAACTTTTGCCTAATGTGAGTACCTCTGCATTTTAATAATAAATGTATTAGTGGATTCACACTGTGGAGTTTGCCGTTTGTCTTTTTGGGTGAAATCCTGATCTGTGCTAAGCAGAGGTACGGGCTTGATCCGTTGATCCTTGCTGGGGTAACTTGTGGATTCCAATCCTTAAAGGGCAATACTGTGAAGATCCTCAGGCATGTACCTTGAGCGTGAATTGACCTTTTATGTTTTGGGGTCATTTTGTTTGGTAAGAGGCTGTTTTTTCATTTACTGGTGGTAGTCCTTATATCATTGGATCACATTTATAGTCATTGTTCTGTAGACTTATACATATGTTTGTGCTTATGGGTGATAAATGTGTTTAACCTTTTTAAAGGTATAGCACAACAATGTTTGGTTTTTATATCCAAATTGGTGTAGCACTCATACATAAAATATAAATAAGTAATCAAATAATCATATATAATTACACAGTGATAACTACATAGTGACCTGATCCCCTCTGGGATCTGAAAGTGACGCAAAACAGTGGGTGAAAAAAACTAAAAAAGCGTGGTCTCAAAATAGACGTAAATCGTACTTGGAGGATCCAGGGGTGATCCCAAAAGCTGTTTGGCCCATTGGGTCACGGTAAGGAGGTGAGGAGGCAATTCAGCTATATTTTGGATTCGTCACCACTACTTGCATGTTTTAAATATCTGTGGCACACCGGGTTTACATGAACATTATGTGTTTTTCACTTCATATTTTATGTGATTTGTATATTTCATTATACGGTTTTTTGAGATCAATTTGGAATTATATATATATATTATTTGAGATTTATTATAAGGGGAGGAGATTGTGATATTATATGTTATATGGGAATTTTTGGAGTGTTTTTTCACTGAGCACTATTCACTATATTTGGAAGATATATCCCCCAGTGCTGGGATCACTTGTTTATGTCACTCATTTTTGATTGCTAGGTTATGTTCAGTCACTGATCCTAATTTAGGATCTGGGTATTTGTGAGCACTTTGTGTGTATATATACCACATTGGGTCTATTTTGAGACCACGATTTTTTGAGTTTTTATTTTTTTCACCCACTGTTTTGCGTCACTTTCAGATCCCAGAGGGGATCAGGTCACTATGTAGTTATCACTGTGTAATTATATATAATTATTTGATTACTTATTCATATTTTATGTATGAGTGCTACACCAATTTGTATATAATTTAGCACTATCCACTTATAGGTAATAAGTTGTGGGGTGTCAGCAGCCGTCATTCTTTGATATGTTGTACACTTCTAAGCGCAGGAGGTCTATACCAAATGTTTGGTTTTTTAAACTTACATGCCTATAAACTGAGGTTGAATTTATTTATTACCGTATTTTTCGCTCCATAAGACGCACTTTTTTCTCCCCAAAAAAGGGGGGGAAATGTCAGTGCGTCTTATGGAGTGAATATAAAGCGGCCGGTCCGGTATTTCTGCCGCCACCATGTCAGAATACCGGGCCGGCCGCTCAGCTGTTTTCTCTTGCAGGGCCTTACCTGTTCCTCGCTCCAGCGCTGCAGTCTTCCCTCGCTGGCTTCTGTGACAGCCGGGTGCCCACTGCGCATGTGCTGCGCTTTGTGAATGATCCAGTGTCTTCTGGGACACATGACAGGTCCCAGAAGGCGCCGGGCCATTCACAAAGCACAGCGCTTCTCGCGCATGCGCAGTGGGCACCCGGCTGTCACAGAAGCCGGCCCGGGAAGTAAAGGGAAGGGCAACTCCACGGAAGTGGGAGCGGGTACCTGTCAAATTCAGGTACCCGCTCCCCCTCCCTCCCCAAAGGTCAGCAGTCTCTGGTCATTCCCTGCACTGTCTGCAGTCTCTGGTCATTCCCTGTACTGTCTGCAGTCTCTGGTCATCTCCTGTACTGTCTGCAGTCTCTGGTCATCTCCTGTACTGTCTGCAGTCTCTGGTCATTCCCTGCACTGTCTGCAGTCTCTGGTCATCCCCTGTACTGTGTCCGCAGTCTCTTGGTCATCCCCTGTACTGTGTCCGCAGTCTCTGGTCATCTCCTGCACTGTGTCCGCAGGCTCTGGTCATCCCTGCACTGTGTCCGCAGTCTCTGGTCATCTCCTGCACTGTGTCCGCAGTCTCTGGTCATCTCCTGCACTGTGTCCGCAGTCTCTGGTCATCCCCTGTACTTTCCGCAGTCTCTGGTCATCTCCTGCACTGTTCCGCAGTCTCTGGTCATCTCCTGCACTGTGTCCGCAGTCTCTGGTCATCCCCCTGCACTGTGTCCGCAGTCTCTGGTCATCTCCTGTACTGTGTCCGCAGTCTCTGGTCATCTCCTGTACTATGTCCGCAGTCTCTGGTCATCTCCTGCACTGTGTCCGCAGTCTATGGTCATCTCCTGTACTATGTCCGCAGTCTCTGGTCATCTCCTGTACTGTGTCCACAGTCTCTGGTCATCTCCTGTACTATGTCAGCAGTCTCTGGTCATCTCCTGTACTATGTCAGCAGTCTCTGGTCATCTCCTGTACTATGTACGCAGTCTCTGGTCATCCCCTGTACTGTGTCTGCAGTCCATTGGTTCAGAATATTTTTTTTTCTTGTTTTTCGCCTCTAAAACCTAGGTGCGTCTTATGGTCAGGTGTGTCTTATGGAGCGAAAAATACGGTAATTGGCTAAAATTTTCATTTTATACATTTATTACAGGTTCTTATATAGTGCCATCAATATACATAGCACTTTACATATATATATTCACATCAGTCCCTAACACTTGAGGAGCCTACAATCTAAGGTCCCTAACTCACACCCATACATACACATACTAGGGCCAACTTACCAAGAAGCACATCTATGTGTCGGAGGAAACCCACGCAGACACAGGGAGAACATGCAAACTCCAAGCAGGTAGTTTGATGGTTGGGATTCAAACTAGCGGTCCTAGTGCTGCTAGGCAGAAGAGCTAACCACTTAGCCACTGTGCAGCCCACATAAACAGCTAAGGTCAGGTGCATCCATGATAATCAGTTTGCAAAGCATGCTGGTTTTTTCAAAAGTAATCCTAGCACTGTGTATAGAGAAAATCAGCAAAGGGGTCTGTCTAGATTCATGCAAACCTTTAAGGAAAATAAACCTAGAATGCTAAGAACAGTAGAAGAAAATTAAGAGCTGCAGCACCTTTCACCCCAGAGACACCCCTCTCTATCCCCACACTATAGACACAACCCAGAGCCTCATCACCCAATGGCTGGTGCCTAAGCAACTGATAAGCAGCACCATTACATGGGTATGTGTCTTTACTCATGCCAAGAGTGACTTTGAGGAAATACTTATTTGTATTCCTGATTCAGGCAAGCTACCTTCTTCTGTTCTGAATTCTGTTATTTATTTATTTTTTTAATGCATTAACTCCACTAGAAGAGAACAGGGGGGAAAGGTTTGTCTCTCTTTCTTTTTTTAAGTTATTCTGAAGTGTGTGTAATCTACTTTCCCTGCTAGTTAGCTGAATTTTTAAATAGGGACTTCAATCTACAGAAAGCTGGTGCTCTTCCTATACAGTGTTTCATCTTTCTCTTTAATATAATGTGTGCTTTTTAAGTAGTTAAAAGGTAAAGAATACCTAGACCCTTACATTTTGTTTATTAAATATTTAAATCTTCCACTTTAGCAACCTACTTGGCCCCTCTTTGGAAATCACCTTTACTTTAATTTCAATAATTTTTTATTGAAGAATTTTTATGACATAACAGGGTATGGGTATACGGTTCATCAACATACATGGTAATACAATATAGTATTGGGTCTGTTCCCCACCAGTTGGCTGGGGCTGATAGTGGTGTGTATGACATTGACGTGCGAGGTATTCTTGGTTGTAATTTGAACCATGTTGAGATGTGTAGGTGGTCGAGGAGGGATGTAAAACATGGAGAAGGAGGGTAAGGGGGGGGGGGGGGATAGGTAGGGAAAGGATGGGTGCATCCAGTCTAAGTTTAGTGGTTAGGATAGTTTATAGTTAGGTTATCAGTATTTTAGAGAACAGTTTGGGTTTCTGTAGCCAGCGAGACCATTGGGGATTAAATTTTATGATGGGTGGAGTTGCTAAGGTGGATCTTTTTTCCATTTCACATTGGAAATTAAGGTCTGTTATCAGTGACATGAGGAAAGGGATCTTAGTAGTATTCCATAGCTTAGTAATATTGATTTTAGCTGCCGATAGTGTGTGAATGATAATAATGTGGGAGTTGTAGGGTAATTTGTCAATTCCAATGTGTAGGAGTGCAAGAGCAGAGTTTGGGGTTATTGAGATGTTGGATAGCTCAGAAATCAATTGGAAGACGCTGTTCCAGAAAGATCTAAGTGATTTGCAAGACCATAGTACAGTTGTGTCCAAAATTATTCAACCCCCACTGAAATTGAGTGTTTTGGCCAGTTTGACATTGCTTTTGATCATTCAGTCATCTTGCTTACATTTACATTAAAGAGGCACTTGTAGGTCAGACAAATATAACATAAACAGTTATAATGAAATAACCACAAATGTCTTTTCTGTGCTCACAGCATTATCAGTTTTATTCAACCCCCAAGTGACATTCAATCTTAGTACTTAGTACAGCATCCTTTTACAGTTATAACAGCTTTTAAACGTGAAGCATAGCTTGACACAAGTGTCTTGCAGCGATCTACGGGTATCTTCGCCCATTCTTCATGGGCAAAGGCCTCCAGTTCAGTCACATTCTTAGGCTTGCGCACTGCAACTGCTTTCTTTAAGTCCCACCAGAGGTTCTCAATCGGATTTAAGTCTGGTGACTGCGATGGCCACTCCAAAATGTTCCAGCCTTTCCTCTGCAACCATGCTCTAGTGGACTTGGAGGTATGCTTGGGATCATTGTCCTGTTGAAAGGTCCAACGTCTCCCAAGCCTCAGGTGTGTGCGGACGGACTGCATCACGTTTCCATCCAATATCTCCTGGTACTGAAGAGAATTCATGGTACCTTGCACACGCTGAAGCTTCCCTGTACCTGCAGAAGCAAAAAACAGCCCCAAAGCATGATTGACCCTCCACCATGCTTCACAGTAGGCAAGGTGTTCTTTTCATCATAGGCCTTGTTCTTCCTCCTCCAAACATAGCGTTGATCCATGGGCCCAAACAGTTCTAATTTTGTTTCATCAGTCCACAGAACACTATCCCACAACTTTTGTGGTTTGTCCACATGGCTTTTGGCATACTGCAGTCGACTCTTCTTATTCTTTGGAGACAGCAAGGGGGTACGCCTGGGAGTTCTGGCACGGAGGCCTTCATTACGCAGTGTGCGTCTTATTGTCTGGGCTGAAACTTCTGTACCCACATCTGACAAATCTTTTTCTCAGTTCCTCAGCAGTCACACGGGGGACTTCTCTCCACTCTACGCTTCAGGTAGCGCACAGCAGTCGAAGTCAGCATCTTCTTTCTGCCACGACCAGGTAGCGTTTCAACAGTGCCCTTTGCCTTGAATTTGCGAATGATGCTTCCTAAGGTGTCTCTTGGTATGTTTAACATCTTTGCAATCTTCTTATAGCCATTGCCCTTCCTGTGAAGAGAAATCACCTCTTCTCTTGTCTTCCTGGACCATTCTCTTGCCTTCACCATGTTTGTAACCACACCAGTAAATGTCTAGAAGGAGCTGAGTATCACAGTCATTTTAAAGCTGCCTAATTGGTGCTTATTATGCTTGATTGCTGCTCGGTGACATCCACAGGTGTTTTCAATACCTGATGGAAAGCACCTGTATGAACCTCTGTTCTTCAGAGTGGTAGTCTTTAAGGGGTTGAATAATTGTGGCAATGAAGAAACCACATAAGAACCATTTACTACTGTATTACATAAACAATTGATGTCATTTTAGTTTGCATTTGGGTAGTTACAACGTCCTTGTAGGATTTGATTCTGAATACAATTCCAAATGTACACTATAGTCCCTAAAAACCCCTTTACAGCATTGGGGTTGAATAATTTTTGGACACAACTGTATATGAATTGTTGAGCCTATTTCTCCGCATTGTCTCCAGCAGGAGGATTTTTAGTGTTTGTTCATCAAGTTCTGGTAGTAGTGGGATAGTTTAACGGGCATTAGGTACCATTGATGTAGGATTTTTAGGTACGATTCCGAATGAGAGCTGCATCGGGAATATATTTATGGCTGATGCTGAAAGCATTTTCCCATGTTGTTATTAGTTGTGAGAGGATTTTACCCCAATTAGTTAGGGATGTAGTTTGTAGAGTGACTTGTGAGTTTATTTTGTATGTGTAAAAGGTGGAAATACCCTTACCCGGGTATTGTGGTTTTGTCAAGAAGTGGCATGCAGTGATAGGGATTTTTTGTGAAATGGGGTATATTTTCTATTTGTAAACAGTGAGCTACTCTTAGGTAGGTGAAATACTCAGTAGTGGGGAGATTGAAATTATTTGGAGAGTTTGGAAAGAATTTATTTTGTGTTCTGTGTAAAGGTCTTTTATGTTATTTAGACCACGATTTTCCCATTGGGATAATTTTAGGGAGGGGTAATGAGGTGTAGTACATTAATTGGGGTGGGAATATGTTTAGTATCTGTGAATTTGGTAGTTAGGAGATCGTACCAGGCTTGTAGAGAGGCTTGGATACATGGGTGTTTTAGTTGATAATTGGTGTGGGATGTTGGCGGTATTAAGAGTAGGTTCCGTGGTATGAGCGGGAGAAATGGGAGGGTTTCCATTGTGGACCAGATTTTCTCTTTTGATGGGTTCCACCAAAAGTATATTTGCTCAAGAAGGCTTGCGTTGTAGTAGGATTTTAGGTGTAGAAGGCCTGCTCCTCCTCTGGATGTCGGGCGTATTAGGAGATTTGTGGTGCATCTGGGTTTTTTAGAGTCCCAGAGGAAGTTAGAGAAGGTCGCTTGTAGTTTAGAGAAGAAGGTGCTGGGGATGGGAAATAAGCGGAATATGTACAGGATCTTGGGCAGGATATACATTTTCAGAGTCGCTACTCATCTCAATTTGGAAAGTGTTGAGGTACGGAGTGAGGCTATTTCTTGTGGAATGGTTTCGAGTAGTATCTTGTGGTTTAAGGCATATAATTGATCTGTTGTTGCGGTGAGTTTGATTCCTAAGTAGGAGATATTGTGTTTCTCCCAAGAGAATGGAAATTGTTTGGCTAATAGTGTTTGAGTTTGAGATGGTGTGTGGAGATTTAAAATTGAGGATTTGGGCTCGTTAAGTTTGTAGTAGGAAACTTTTGAGTAGTTTTGGAGATGTGTGCGAATCATTTGTAGGGACTTGTCTG